GGAGCCATCACTGGATGGGTGACCTCCCTGGGAAGTCCCAAGGTACGTGTGCATGCGTTGCGAGACACTTGCTCTGCATGTGCTGAAAGGCACCGCTGCATTATCGTGCCGCTAGGCACGTGTTACGAACCCCTCCAACACCATGCCAAGATGCTTTGAGTTTCGAAGAACGTGTCGAGAGACACCCTTGCCACCATGCCGAGAGGCATATGTGGCAACCATCTCACCATGCCAAGATGCCCCCAGCTCCGAAGAACGTGTCGAGAGGCACCCCTGCCACCATGACGAGAGGCATATGTGGCATTCATCTCATCATGCCAAGACGCCCCAGCTCCGAACAACGTGCCGAGAGGCACCCCTTACCACTATGCCGAGAGGCATATGTGACATCTGTCTCACCATGCCAAGATGCCCCAAGCTCCAAAGAACGTGCCGAGGGGCACCCCTGCCACCATGCCGAGAGGCATATGTGGCATCTATCTCCGAAGAATGTGCCTGAGAGGCACCAAAGTGCTTGGGCATGTGAAGTACCAGGATGGGTGACCTCCCGAGAAGTTCGGCCCAAGACAGTTATCCCAAAAAAAAAAAAAAAACCCTAAACTAATTTTTTACCCCCCTAAGTGGGAGAGTTGCCACCAGATCCCATAAGAACTTAAGCGTGCTTGGGTGAGAGCAGTCCCCGGATGGTTGACCTCCCTGGGAACTTCCCAGGTATGTTGGGTATGTGTGCATGCGTTGCGAGATGCTTGCTCTTCACGTGCTGAAAGGCACCGCAGCATTATCGTGCCCCCAGGCACGTGTTACGAACCCCTCCGTCACCATGCCAAGATCCCTCGAGCTCCGAAGAATGTGCTGAGAGGCACCCCTGCCACCATGTCGAGAGGCATATGTGGCATCCGACTCACCATGCCAAGACGCCCCTAGCTCCAAAGAACGTGTCGAGAGGCGCTAGTGGCATCTATCTCCGAAGAATGTGCCTGAGAGGCACCAAGTGCTTGGGCGTGTGAAGTACCGGGATGGGTGACCTCCCGAGAAGTTCGGCCCAAGACAGTTATCCAAAAAAAAAAAAAAAAAAACCCTAAACCCTAAACACTAGACCCATAAACCCTAGACCCTAAACCCAACCCCCTTAAGTGGGAGAGTTGCCACCAGATCCCATAAGAACTTCAGAGTTAGGCGTGCTCGGGTGGGAGCAGTCCCTGGATCAATGACCTCCCTGGGAAGTACCCTGGGTACATGCGCGCGCGTCATGAGATGCCTGCTCTGCATGTGCTAAAAGGCAGATGTTGCATCCATCCCACCAACAATGTGCCAAGAGTCACCCAGCTGTGAAAAACAACCTGCCAAGAGGCAACCCTACGCCACCATAAAGAGAGTCACTAGTGGCATCTATCTCCGAAGAATGTGCCTAGAGGCACCAAAGTGCTTGGGTGTGTGAAGTACCGGGATGGGTGACCTCCTGAGAAGTTCGGCCCAAGACAGTTATCCCCAAAAAAAAAAAAAAAACCATAAACCCTAAACCCAACCCCCTCTAAGTGGGAGAGTTGCCATCGAATCTCATAATAACTTCGGAGTTAAGTGTGCTCAGGTGGGAGTAGTCCCCAGATGGGTGACCTCCCTGGGAAGTCTCCAGGTACGTGCACACACATAGTGAGGTGCCTGCTCTACATGTGTTGAAAGGCACCGCTGCACTCAGCTCCGAAGAACGTGTCAAGAGGCACCCCGGCCACCTTGCTGAGAATCACATTTGGGTGTGTGACCTTCCGAGAAGTTGGGCCCAAGACAATTATCCAAAAAAAAAAAAAAAAAAAAAACCCTAAACCCTAGCAACCCCCCTAAGTGGGAGAGTTGCCACCAGATCCCATAAGAACTCCGGAGTTAAGCGTGTTACGAACCCCTCCGCCACCATACCAAGAGGCACCCAGCTCCGAAGAGCATGCCAAAATGCACCCCTACCACCATGCCAAGAGGCATGGCATCCATCTCACGAACAACGTGCCGACAGGCACTCAGTTCCAAAGAACGTGTCGGGAGGCACCCCTACCACCATGTCCAGAAACACATGTGGCATCCATCTCACGAACTACGTGCCAAGAGGCACCTAGCTCTGAAAAACAACCTACCAAGAGGCAGCCCTACACCACCATGACGAGAGTCACTAGTGGCATCTATCTCTGAAGAATGTGCTGAGACGCACCAAAGTGCTTGGATGTGTGAAGTACCGAGACGGGTGACCTCCTGAGAAGATCGGCCCAAGAGATTTATCCCAAAAAAACAAAAAAAACAAAAAACCCTAAACCCTAAACCCATCTCATGTGCTCAATTTTTTTCTCTCTCTTCACGGGAGCTTCTCTCTCATCAACGTCACATTCAAACAGTGAGATCTCTCTCATCTCACTTGGGATCGTCCTGAAACTTGTTTCATTCGATTCCTCAAGTCGGAAACCATCAGCATCTTGCCATATAACGTGGAAAATGGTTGATTGATTCTCTCGGTCTCGCGATTTCTCCCTCGAGAGGTATTTTTCAGCACGTTATATTCTCAGGGTAATATCTACTGTTTTATTTGGCTGAAATATAATATCCTTATATCAGTAAAATCGTATTTCCCTGATTTACAGATTTCCCTTCTTGATCATTTTATTTTGATGCTTCGTTGATGAGTAAATCATCATTTTCATCAGCAAACCCGTGTCCGGTCAATGACAAACCGAGGGAAGAAGCACACTTTGGGCCTGCAACGGTCCAAAAATCGGAACCATCGATCGCCTGAATGGTCGATTGATGGACGGTCAGGATTTGTTGTCGACTGAAGATCCCCCGGCCCTAGAGATCGAGGCGATGCCAGCCGGCGATGCTATTTCCACCATTGATCTACAGATCAAATGACTGGATTTACCAGAGGAAAAGGCGCCACAAGTGACTGACGTCGTTTCTCAGTTATGGGTTCTGTGCCTGCACCAGCGAGAGCTGACATGCAGGGCACCAATGGGAGCTAGATCCAGGCGTTAATATGTTTGACAACCGAGATTATGCACAAGTGTAGAGATAGACCTTTTGGCCCCCACTTCAGCGCATGATCAGTGTGCAGAATGGGGATGAGAAGATCTATCAAACAGTTATATACGAGAGACTACCTCATTTTTACACCCACTGCACAGTTTTTGGACACATCATCCATACTTCTCGACATGAGATCACCCCATCATCTTCAGAGTCTGTCGTGATTTATCTATCACTCATGTCGTATGATGATTATATCACTAAGCAAGGAAGACTACACGTAGCCGCCCTCCCATACAAACTCGTGTGCTCTCTCTTGACCACTACTGGTCTAGACTGGTGTCCCTCCAGCCAGTTTTGGGAGGACAACTCCACCTACATCGGTGTCACATCTTATCTCTCGAGCATCTATATCCACCCCAAAGGGAAGGAAGGTGGTAGTAGACCCAACACCCCCCATACCAGCAGGTAAACCCTAAACCCTAAACCCTAAACCCTAAACCGTAAACCCTAAACCCTAAGCCTCTCCATTGTACGCTCCCTTGTAGAGCTTCCCGAACGCCCCCTGCGCGATGGGCGCCCCCAGGTTCAACTTTCTCAGATCAATCGTCCACTCATCATACTCTGCCAATCCCTGGGTAGGGAATCGGTCGTCCATTAAGGCCTGACCCAGCGCATCATCGCCGAGGGAAGGATATACCCTGGTGGGACGGAGAATGCTGTATCCCACGGAGTTGATGTTGGTGGGCATGGGCCGGAGACCCAACTGATTGAGGAACAGGGTTTGCGAGTCGTTGGACCCGACGCTGCTGTTGTCCACGGACATGGCTACGGAGCCTCCGACGGTGCTGGTCTCCAAGCTGCCGATGCTATCTACTGACATGGTGGAACCGTCCCCGAGCTTCTGGTAGAAGGCGAGGTCGTACAACTTCCTCCCGTGAAAATTCCCGCCGCCACCTCCGCTCATGATACCGGCTAATTTGGGGCCTTCCACCATCTCTCAAACCAGTACTTGTCCCGAGAAATCTCCTTTCTTAGCGAGAGGAGCGTCCATTCCAGGCGGTCCTCTGTTGACGACAGTCTGAAAACCCTACAATTGGTACCAGATGCTCGCGATTCGCAGTTAGCTCAAAAACAAAAAAACAAAAAATAAAATCCAAATACAGAGGGAGTTCGAGCCCAACTCTTCTACCAGAGGAATCAAACACTAATCTTCCATTTAACAGGCAAAAATCACGAACCACGGCCACTTCCTGAAACTTCGCCAATCTCCTCCTCGCGGGCTGACGATGAGAACGGAATCACGAAGCCAGTCTGATCAACGCAAGATCATTGGTCACATAACCAGCCACAACCCCGAGGCATGGGACGGGAAAAACGGGCTAGCCGCCAGAGAAGAAGGGCTAGATCCTTCACCTCTGAGGGGAACCCGCCGATCTGGTCGCGGAAACAACTCAAGGGAGAACGCGCAGGGAGGATAGGCGTCAAGAGTGGCGGCGAAAGAGGTAGCTGAGAGGGAAACACCCAGAGCGGAGGACGGCTTCGTCTCTGATGTGCCTCTCCCGCACGGTGCGAATTTGATTGCGCGAGATTTGCCTATCCAATGAAATGATGGAAAAAAAGATTCCCTTCCGATTACTAAGTCTTATTTGTCTCTCTCCAAGTTAATATCTACTATTAAATACCGGAAGAGGACGGGGCTGGGAATGTCCGGCTGATTCTCCGGCTGATTCTTCTGCTCCACAATACTTGTGCTCAAGCTACTCTCTCACATTGAGCAGTTTTCATGCTGTCCTCTTCTTCTGATGTGAGAGCCGCAGTCTGGTGTTCCCGAGCGTCTAAAAGTCTCATTTGAAAGCATCACTGTGTCGATTATTTAAGTCCATCTCTTCTAGATTACGAACTGTTGGAAATGGATGAGGAATCTACTCTGGTTTCAAGTATTTTTGCTCATGCTGAATGTGGCTGGATCTTATGTCGTAGGAGGTAGTAGGCTCGTGCGATCCCTCGCTACAGCGGTCGTAGTTGAAAACTAAACTCGTTAAAGATGACCAGATTGGTTCAAATCAGAGAAAGCGTGATCTGCTGTGTTCATCGGAGAAAGAGACCCCCCCATATTGGACCCCCTTTCCTTGCCGTACCCACCATCCAGAAGACCCTGACGCAGTTCTGGCTTCGTCGGCAGTAGTTGTGCGTGTCTTTGGAGATCGTTGCGGATGGATTCATCACTAAGATTGACTTGCATGCTTTCGTTAAGATTGCCATCTCTGTTTCCCCCCCTTTTGTTTTCTCGTGGACTGCATGGTTCTCATGGCGTCGATCTTTTGCCGCAGGGAGATGATCCAGAACAGACTCTACAATAAGAAGGTCGACGTGTACAGTTTCGGAATCGTTCTCTGGGAGCTTCTCACCGGCATGCTCCCCTTCCAGAACATGACGGCCGTCCAGGTGGCGTTTGCCGTGGACAAGGGGTTCCGCCCAGTCATACCCCCCGACTGTCTGCCTGTGCTCGAGGAGATCATGTCCCGCTGCTGGGACGCCAACCCCGACCTCCGGCCCCCTTTCACTGAGGTTGTCAGGATGCTCGAGGCTGCGGAGACCGAGATCTTGACAACCGTCCGGAAGGCACGTTTCAGATGTTGCATGTCCCAACCCATGACTACAGATTGAAGAGAGGGGAAAACAAGAAAACGAGGAAATACAAGAAATAAAGGAGACGAAGATGGTGTAAGCGTGTAAGTTCCGTGTGTATCATTCTATCGAAGGAAGTTTGCTGCATATCGAAAAGGGGAGAGAAAGAGGAATGTGTGTGTGATAGGGCCATGTGGTCTGTCTGTCCAGGCCTTGGCTTTTGACCTCCCCGTAATGCTGAATACTCTCATATCTGAAGTGTCACAGCTTGATTTCCTATATTCTTTATGAAGAAAGCTTGCTCGTCTTCGCCTTGGCGCTGATTAGGCGTGCGTGAATTATCTGTGTTGTCAACGGCAGAAGGAATTTTTGCATGGAATGGTTTTCTGTTCCAAGGTCTGTAGGGAAGGCCCCAACAACAGCACCACGAGGCACTGGGGTTCGCTGCTGTGCCGGCATGCCTAATCAATGATCGTTTGTGCCGGCATGGACAACACTGGCGTCTCGTGATCTCTCTCTCCCCCTGCCCACTCTGGACATCCTACGGATTCCGCCTAAGGATCGCTGGTGCAGCTTTTCTTTGGATTCAGACGAGGACCTACCTGTGAAAGGCTTCCAAGACTGGGCTGGAGCTGGTGGGGTCTGAAGCCAATGTCGTCCTTCGGGACACCTCTGACGAGCTTAGGAGGTTGACTGTCAAAATTGCTTCGAATCCACCAGTTGGGCTTGCACGAAAACCGTCTTCGATGTTGAGCGCCGAATCCACCACGAGACACAAAATCCAAAGGAAAATGCTTGCGACGACGGCTGATTTAATGCGAATCCCCCAGATCCGTCTCTACAATCCTCTCTTGTTGTCTTGTCCGTCAGGTTCGATCAAATGAAAGGTAAAGTATGGATGCCGAAAGGGCTTCCTCGAGCCAAATACAGTCGAAATATCACGTCCGGCGGGAAGGCCATGGAGTATCACGGATACCGAGATCAATGCAAGGATGCTCCCAGGAATCTGAACCTTGAGAAGCCGATAAATCCGCCCACACCATTGAGGTTCCGAGCGCTCGTCTTCTGAAGCAATTACGTTGCGTCCTTTCATGCGGCACGGTTCTGAATCCTCAAAGTAAAGACAGAAAACAACGCTGATACGGACGAGGCCATCTCGTGGACGACGTCTGCCGACGTTCAACATTCTGACTGCTGTGAGACCCTGTCCTCCTCGATGATTTCCCATGCCCCGCTAGTTTCATCTTCTTCGAGAACGTATTCATTTCATTTGGCGGCCGGTCTTCAAGCAGGGAATCCGACGTTCACAGGGAAGTCGACATAACGACGACATTTGGTCAAGCAGGCCGTCCCGCTATCGATTCAGAGAGTTGCACATGGCGTCAGTCAACGATTGTCTTCATACCAAAACCATCGCCAGACCATAGCCAGCGGTTCGGGTGGGCACTCGAAGATCGGAACCCAGCTCGTGAAAGCCAGTCTCCAGGACTGACTGAGAAGTCGGACTGAGATAGGTTACGAAAACAGCCGAAGGACAACGATGAGGAGAATGGCGAGGAAGAACAGGGAAGGAGATAAACGTCCAGCGTTACAGTCTGATCATAACTGCATTTCTAGATGCATTAAACACCTAACTCGGGATCCACGTGAACGTAGAAGCTTGCGGCTACAATGAGATAGCACAAGATGAGCATTAGCCCTTTGAAGTAGTTGGAGGTTCCCTCCTGCAAGATGTTAAAGGCAAAGAAAGAGGTGAGGGGGGAGAAAAGCACACTCGAGCGGAGTGCAATTTTCTTTGGAGGACCGAAAGTGCCTTTTTCGACTTTCGTACGCATCCTCGCAGAAACTGTTCAATTCGTTTCTCAACACAAACCTGCAATAAAATGGCTACGACTAAAACTGTTGTGAAGAGTGCCGCCGTCTCGAAAAGCTGAAAGTTTAGGTCCATCGGGCATCCCAAGATCCACCCTACGACCACGCAGAACGGAATCTGCAGCAGGAGACCGGAAACAGGATAAGTGTCACAAGTCGGAAAAAAGATCAAGAACACTGAACAGAGGAGCGCATAAATAGAACTGTGCATGTGCATCAAGTGATCGACGGTGCAAAATCCATCTGTGTTTCGACCTACAAACATCGGCTAGCATCCTTTCTTTAATGAATGGGAATAGGCAGCTAGTGAGCCCCTCGAGCTGCATTCCTTTCTCCGGGGGAGCAGAGCGACCACCATGGTTATCCAACCACGCATAACCGTTCCAAATTTAATGAAGTTGACGCATCCGAATGACTCGGTTGCTCTCGAGAGCTTCCTTTCTTTCCCCTGGAGCACTGAACCACAGCTGTTTCGCGAATTGGCACTCAGAACAGAAACCAGAATGGACAGTGCTCCCACTCATCGGAGAATCAAACCCTCGGAACGAACGGCAGCCCTCTCAGATCAAATGTCAGTATAGAAGAGCTCCACACCATACGTACCCCGAACATGGATATCTGAGTAGACGACCCGATGGCGACGCCGAGAGAGATGTCCTGTACGAAACGTGCGGAGGTTCGTGAAAGGCATAAAAAAGCTGATGAAACTCGATAATCTGAGAAACGCTACGCTCAAAACCCCACACCAGTTTGTCTTTCATGGCGAACATAATAGCACTAGCATGTTCTGCCGCGTTTCCTACGATGGGAAGCAGAATAACGCTGATAAAAGAGACGGGGATTCCCCACGACACCGAAGCCCCCTGTCAATTCAGCCGACGGGAATCATGTTTCATTTCGTTTGTGATGTATTATTCAGACGAGCATTTTAAATCTACGTATGAGCGACACCCAGAGACCGGGAGGGCCGGATGCAATCTCAGACGGTGAATGAAAGAAATGGACGATGACGAGCACATCACCTGAATGGCGTCCACTAGATATTCCGAGAGGACAGAAATACAGGCAGTCAAGACTGCAAGCCAAGAAATCGCCTCCCATTTAGAAATATCAGGAGCTTCTTCATCAAGACTGCTTGCCTCACTTTCACTTGCTCCCTTGGAGATAAAGTTAGCAAGATGAGTCGAGTAACAAAACAAAATCGTTGCTTTGCTGTCACAAGATAAAACTGAGACTTCGAGGACGCCAAGTACTAATAGTCGACAAGAAAAAACTTATGCGAATCCTACAATGACAAGGAAACTCGCATTTTTTTACATCAGTTGTATTCATCTTTAAGATCCTTTGCTTTGCACTTGATTAAGGAAAAAAGAACATGCAGGCAGCCATAGTTCTTGAACGGGCAGAGGCCCTTGCCAACCTGTCTCCGATAACAACAGGAGCGGGAAGAGGAAACTGGGCTGATATTCAGCTCGTCTTTTACTTTAGTCTTACCAGAAGCAAATGCCGCCGGTATTTCTCCTGATAAATCTGCATTGCGATAACTACGACAAGCACGGAAATGATTTTAAAGAACTATACATCAATTTGGGCCCTAAAAAATATGGTGGGTAACCCATTCGTTGAAAAGAACAAAAAAAATATGCCATCTCCTCTCGACAAAATGTAACAAAAAATTAACATTAATATAAAAAAAAACTTAACTTAAAATTGTGTGTTGCATTCCACAGAAAAAGGCAACCAGCTGATCATTTGCCCTTAGAAGGAGACAAGAAGGCTAAATAACGACACAGAAAACGAGTGAAGCTTAAAAGTGGGGTATCCAAAGCTTGCAATCATCAAAGAGCGAATGTGTCCGCAGATATAAGCTGTCTTCTAGGGCAGCGTAATCTTCGTTTCGAAAGATAACCCACCATGCCATACGTCATAAATTCCTGATTTAAAGGGGGTTAAGAACGTTATTATGGTCTACAGCCTGTGGTAGATCACATCACGTCGTCATTCATGTGCATCTTTAGCTCATCAAAACTCGGTTCAAAGCCCACAGGAACACTCTTGACTGTGGCTCTTCAGTAGTGTGGCCTTAATGCTCAATGTTCAGTAGCATGAGCATCATCTTCTTCGCTGTCCTCTGCGCGGATCTAGCAATCATATCTCAAATCCACCTTTGAACTCACACTGTCTCCTCAATCTCCGGAACCATTAAAGTTTTAGGCCAAATGTCAAGTAAATGAAAGCCCGTTTAGTAAGAAAATGAGAACGTCAGTGCCGTATGGCAGGAGCATTTCTGGATTATATACATTAAAACGGGCTTAACTCAATGGGTTAAGCTCCCTTGACCAATCCACAATGGGATTAGCTCAATGTATAAATTTCTATTATTTGGAAAACAAGAATTAGAGATTACTTATGAATTGATGTTTGCAGATCAGTGGAAACTGTTGTCCTCTCTAGAGTAAAAATGACGCTGTCATCGAACAAAACGGCATGTGACAGAAATAAATGATTCGAGTTTGCACCTATAACAGATTATCAAAACACGGATGGTAGTATAACCGTATGAAAATGCCTGTCATGATATGTCTGGCATCGTCCTCGGTATGGGATGACGTTTCACATGTATTGAACCAAAGAGAGCAAGAAAGTCTTCTTCCGGCGCACATGTTCATAAGAGGGGTGGGTAAAAGAGGCCAACCTCGCGTACGGGATCATAGAGGCTCTTGTGACTCTTCAACTGGAAAACAAGATAGCATCCATAAGCCAGGAGCATAATACAGCTGCTAAATCTTGAGAGAGCCAGTTCTGACTTTCCATATTGCGCTTCTGAGTGAGTATAGTGGAGGACAGCAGGGAAAAGCAGGCCCATAACTGCCATCAGCAGCAACCCTGAATTTACAACAGCCGCTGCCTGCTCCATAACAGAGAATCCCGTTAAAGTTATAGAGAGAACGAAAACATACTATCCAAGAATGAAATGAATCTTGCCTTGTTGAAAGATTGCTCTTTCTTGAAGAAGACGATCCCTCCGCAGAAAAATGCACAACCGAGAACCAGTAGCATATTTGATAATATGGAGCCCAACAACGATTGCTGAACGACACGTATCATCCCAGATTTCAAAGCAAATATTGATATAATTAATTCGGTTGCATTCCCGAATGTAGCATTTAGAAGGCCCCCAACTGCAGTTAACAGTTAGTTAAATGTCATTACCAGACCGTTTCATATTATGAACGTCTAGAAATCTGCAAAAGAGAATCGACGAATGATCTAATTATAGGGCCTTTCTTGCCCAAGTGAAGATTGATTACCAAAGATAAGATGGTAAATACTGAGAGACAGTTTGATAAGGGGAGGAAAAAAAGAAAAATCACGTTTTGAAGAAAAACCCAAGAAGAAGCTGAATCAAACTCGAAAAAACAAGATACTGCGGTCTTCATGCCAGAGAACTCGTGCTCATGCACAGACACTCTCAAATATACGTCTGTATCTCTGAGTAATCACTCCCAAAATTCAGCATGAGTTTCTTCCAGGACCTTTCAAGAATGCTAGAGCGGCATCATCCTGACGTAAACTCTTGGGTTGGTCCAAATATTGATTTGATTTCCGAAGTGGGGAACGGCCGACCATCTGGACGAATCTACTCATGCGATGATGATTATCTTAACACGAGCAGATCTGGGAGACGCCAATATCAAGGCCTTCCGCTTACATAAGGAACCAATTTGGGCCGAATGTTGGCCTTCCAATTGAAGATTAGTGACCCACCCTCACATGAGAGAATTAGCCATGATCGCTTCCGACAAGGGATGGTTGGATGTTTTTTTTTTTTGAGAGAACTGAATGGAAGTGAAAGAAAGCGTACGTCAGATGGGACAGAACAGACTGCTTACCCGTAGCTCCAGTGAAGAAGGCCAACTGCCTACAGAAAAGAGACAACTATTAAGTCGACTGCGTAAATGGGCAGTCGAAGAGATGAAGTCAGTACAGTGTTCAAGTGCCCTCACTCTGTGGCATAACCCAAACGCTCAGCCAACGGAATTATACCGAGCAAGCTTAAGATGAACACCAGTCCCTACAGTCCGTTGGCAGTATGTTGAGCTCAAAATTTCACCAGAAGAGACGGAGAGACGATCCTCACAAGAATTTGAGAACATGCACACATAAAAAACAGGAAAGAGAGCAAAAAAAAAAAAGAGGTCATAAAACTTACTTCGTGCCCATAGAATTTATGGACCAGGATTGCTGCCGGGCCAAAAGGCAGCATCAAATTGATCTTGGCCTTAAGTATCACAATACCGCAGCTCCTGAACACGGTGCTTTTCAGAAAATTAGTGCCGTGTTCTTGATGAGGCTCTGAAAAGGAACCATCCTGGGATCGGTCAGGACTATGCGTCCGACGAACGAGTGATATGGGACTAAAATGGCTCTCATCCTCAAAATCGTTCTCCATTCTATGGCGAATTATGCCCATCTATGAATACAAGTGTGCATCTGTTAGAAAGGACTGACAAAAACAGAGGACGAAGAAATGTACCGGACATCGGTTTCCAACCCATTCATATTAGGCGTGGGAGAAAATATTTCCACTTGATACGCAGGAGTTTCTCAGAAACAAGGCCGAAAAGAAAAATGAAACTCACTTCCAGGCGAGAGTGACTGCCCACAATCTGGGGATTCGCCTTGTCACCATCCATGTTCTGCAAATGCTGAGGCCGCTGACTTAAAGAAATCGCATCACTGCGCGGCTGCAAAATAGTAGGTTTAAATATTCACATTCCTGCACCGGATATCAGGCTTCGGAACGTCCTCTCAAGAGATTCAAGTCATTAGTGTGCGTATCGAGCAGAAAGGATCAGACTTGTAATGAGAAAACCGAGTTGACGCCCAGTGGATTACATGAAACATGAGTAGGCACCCTGGGCCACTGGCGGGCAGCCATGGTGACATACTGGTCTTCGTTGTGACAGACAATGCAAAGGACCAGGCCGAAACGTTTTCATGGTCGGAGAAACAGTTCACTTGTTGGTGGTCTCAGACCTTCGGAAAAAAGAAAACAAAAAAATGTGAACGTTGTACTAGCGGGTTTTCAGGTTCCTGATGAGAATCGACGCGTCTCTGAGGAGTCCTGTCTAGAAACATTGGTTTGTTTTTCCGTGACGTGTGAGCGCGTGGATTTAGGCCATCGGTGAAAAAACAAGGGTCACCGACCCGGCTCTTTGGAGATCGGTGATCCACCAAAGAGCAGAGATGAAACAGTGGTGCTCCTGGATTTATGATTCCCGGTTCTTGCGCTCAAGTAGGAGAAGGAAACGGTTGATGTTGGCCTTGCCTTCTGCTGACAGGGTGTTTTGAAGGTCACCAAAAAGAAGAGGGGAAAGAATGAAAACGAACCAAAACAGAGGACCCTTTGAGCCGGTGGAGAGCAGTCGTCGTCGTCCCCCGCGTCCCTAATATCCGGATCTTCTCTGCTGACTTTGCTCAGCGGGGAAACGGAGGCAGAGGAGACAAGTTTTCAAGCAAACACCATAGCAACGCAGAGAGGGGAGGGGATTGGCTGGAGCTCGATCTCCGGCATTCCGACGGAGGAGAGAGACGAAGAAGATGCCGCCCGGAAGAGGCGTATGGGTCGCATGCAGGTAGGGAGGACCAGGGCAATTCAGAGTCTCAGTGTGGAGGTTTCATTCGATGGAGAGAAAAAAGGAGATGTTACGGAGACAGATCCTCTCCTGGGCCTCCAAGGGTGATATCCGCAAGAGGAATGATGGTGGAAGAGCACGACGAGAGAAGAGTAAGGTTTGAGAAGGAAGAAAGCAGAGGCAGTGCAGCGACGTGGAGTAAAAAAAGCGAGGCAAACGGTTTGTTCTTCGATATAATACGTCGTACTTGTGGCATGGCGCTCTGTTTTTCCGTCACCGTCTCCCAGTATTGTTCCTCACCAAGTCTCAAACTCCGATAGATTTCGATGCTGCTACGATCGAGGAGACGACGGTAACCGGGGGGGAGGGTGTTTGAGGACAGAGGGAGGGGGGGGGGGAGACGACGGAACTGGTTTTCCGGACTGCGGGGAGGGAGTGGCAAGACAGCAACCGTCCAAAACCGCCTGGCGTGACCGTTCAATTCGTAGCGCAGACCAGCTGACTCTCATCCACGTAGCTAACTCTCTCTCTCTCTCGCTGCGCACCCAAATTACTCTTTTGCCATCATCTAATTATAGTAAAAAAATAAAAAAGAGACGGGAAAAAATCATTATCTGTCGACTTCTGAAATGTTTAGTTTTTACCATAGGTAGCAATGAGGTTAATTTCGAAAAAGATGGAATTATCTTCGTAGAGAGTGTGGTCTGGTAATCTAATCGCGTCCGACCAAGTCTGCTGGACTATATATCTCGTTCTCATCATTAAAATATATAACAGGGAAGTGAAAGCTGAGTGAGAGTCATCACCCTTGTAAGCTCTAGAAACAAGCTCAGAACGTAGAACGCGCAGCCAGCAGAGGTTCGCTTTTTGTGAGATCGTTGACCTGGATGCGTTCTAACCATTTTTTCCGCCGCTCGAGATATCTCTTGTTGGCTGTCCGACCCGCGAGTGACGAAGAGCAAGCTCTTTATGCAGCTCCAGCTCCCCTCGTAAACTAGCCCGGGGGTTTTGCCAACCGAGCCGGAGTTCGGCGCGACCAGTTCCTGAATAGCAATCAAATCCGGAAAATTATTCGTTCGACGTCTTCCTTAGGCGAGTATATCAGCCGGAAGAAATCGTCTTCCGTTACCCTCCGTGATCGTCTGGGGAGCTCCGTTGGCAAAAACCGGCGCGCGTTCCTCTGCGAGAACGAGAACGACTGGGGCAGAGCAAATGAACCGGAAGAAGGAGCTCTGCAGGAACTTCCAGCGTGGGAGGTAATTTTCCGACGGTCTCTTTTCTACCGAAAAGCTGATAGTGCCAGCGTTGAACGCAGCTGGCTTCCCGAAATCGCCTCCTTTCTTGTTGTTTCAGACAACAGTGGACTGCGATGCCTTGGAGTTCTGGATGTATAGAACATTTTCCTATTTCTTTCTTCTCTTCTTCTCTAGCTTCCTCAGACAACCCCTCGCCGCAGAATGTTCTTGTCACTTGAAGCGGCAAAAGCCTTACTCCCTGTCGACGGCATCATTCAGTTCACGAATCTTTATTTGATCATTCAGGTTCTGATATCAATAAAGATACTCTCGCTTTCAACATCGCGCAATGTCTTCCTCTGCGGATGCGCATGTCCTTTCTTGATCAAACTTCAATTTTCTCCTTGGTGATTCCCAAGCGACATCTACTGCATTACTTCTTGAGAAGACAACCGACCAATCCTGGTTCAGGGCCTCCCGTAACTTTTTAGACTGGCAATGCGCAATACATCTAATCTGAAGTTTTCATCTTTACTTGTTCAAAAAATACAGTTGGTTAATTTTAATTACGTATAAATAACTGAAAGTATTCAAGAGGAAAATATTTGTCAGTGCTCTAAAAACTAGGCTAGACGGGACAGAGAAACCCAAAGAGAAGGGAGCCGCAGGCCATTCTGGTTGAAAATTCAGTCCGAATCTGTTATTTGATGTTACTCGGCTTTTTTCTAGCCTGAAGGTAGTAAATCACCAACGGGAACTGGAACTGGAACCCATACAGTATTGATTTCCGGTTTGATTTTTCAAAGCATCTGTTTAGGTATGATAAAACTCTGGGGAGCACCGATTTTTGAGATGCGGCCTCCCTATTGCCTAGAGCACAAATGTCAACGTACACGATCAGATGGAAGACTTTGCTTCAATGAAGGTCATGGTAAGCCACAATTATGCTTGAGGAGTGTTAGTGCCCAGTTCATTTGGGTAGGAATCTAGACCGAGATACTCAAGAACCAAGATGAAAGTCTTGGACAGAAATCTCCAACAAAATTTTTAAAAACCGGCTATATAATTTTGCCGGCTCTCTTGGTAGAAATGAATGGAAAGATCTGGATATTTGATGGTGATGAGTATAAGCTGTCGTATGCATGCCATTGATGTCTTCAATGATGTGTATGAAAAACAAAATCCATTTTGCCATAGCAGATTGTTCCACATAGGTGTACCACAGCATCATTTTCCTCTGAACTTTTCCTTTGCAGTTGCCAATATGGTGATCGGTGCAAATTTCTTCACACCACTCAGCAACAACCAAAGGCAAGCACTGTTGGGTTTGGTGTTCAAAACACATCTCCTTTCCTAAGTATAAGTCAGCAGAGTCAACAACAAAGGCCCAATCCTTTTGGGTTTGGAGTGCAGAGTGTATCACATTCCGTAGGAAGTCATTCTCCCAGCCAGCCTCAGGTTTACTGTTGCTTACTTTCATAAACGCTTGGTTCCTTTGGAGATTACTTCCCCATGTCTTTTTTCAAGCTTTAACTTGTTTTCCCTGGTACAGCCATTCATAAATAAATGGACTCGTTCCTCCTCAGCAGCTGCAAGTACCAAGCCATCCAAACAGGCTGATGCTCAAACACAAGGGGCTCATCAGTGAGTACAATGTTCATCCTATGGATCTCTGTCATAGGTTGGATTTCTCCACATGAGGAGAGATTAATGATTGAAGGATCACTAGCTATTGTGATGTTTTTTTCTGCCCTAGGTGCACTGATCCTGAGTCATGTAGACGCCAAATTGTCGAGGATTTTGAACATGAAAGGCCACTATGGAAGCTGACGTGCTATAGCCACAGCAGAGGGTAAAATTACGACTTGCTATGTCGCTGTATTGTTTGTTTTTTAGGTACACTTTTTTTGGCATGATCACCGAGCTAGGAAGTTTATCGTGCAGGATTTGTTATCTTATTTTAAGTAGGTCTATGTGTCCATGGTTTTCTGTGGTTAAAGAAGCTTAGCTCCCCTTCTACCTTTCATGAACTCATCAATCATGCATGAGCCTTGTCTCTATTTACTTAATAAATTTTACATTAGCGATTGTTTTTGCGAAATCCTGTCCATTCCTGTGCTTTACAAAAAGCCTTCCCAAAATGATATCTTCATTTCTTTTTTCAGAATGCCTTCTGACATTGTTGGTGATGTCAGCTACGAAGAACTACGGGCAGCAGCATATGAAGATGCTAGAAAAGGACTAAGTTTGCAGACAATTGTCAGTAGCGTGGCATAATATATTTACGTTTATCCAACGAAAGAATAATGCTTTTGCTTAGATGGATGAAAATTTCATTCATTGGTTGATACAGGTTGAAAGAGAGAGAAATTTGCTCAATATCAAGTTGTTGGAGTTTGATAATTTGCGGCAGAAACCACATGTGATATTGCAAAGCCCTATATCGGCCAGACCAAGCTTTCCCCCGGTCATCAGCCACAATGCAACATCAGTTACTCCCCAAAGTCACACAACCCCTTTTATCTCTAGTTTTAGTCAACCTGGGGCGTCAGCTAACATTGGGCCGATGACTAGGCAAGCTTTTCATTAATAACGAAAATTTGGTCTAGTTTTTTCAACAAGTGATCAAATTGTGTGCCTGTCGTTGAGGAAACTTTTCAGGATGTCAAAGTATTGATTTTGGTTTTTTGGATTTCTTCTTATTGTTTCAACATTTAGTTTCAGGCCTGTGTCTCCAGGAAATAACAATTTTAGTCAGGCAAGCTCGTTTCAGGTTCAAAACCAAACTTCTAGCGTATTTGGAATGAAGTTTGGGCCGTCAGGTTTTGATTTGTTTCATGTTTCCTTGCGTTTCTTTCGTACTATTTCTAAATACTTTTATCCTTTCATAGTTGTATGGTCTCATTCTTCTCAGATCTTTCACTTGGAACTTCACTGCCCACTCAAGCCAGCCAATTCTCCCTCCCAGTTCAACCAATGCAGAATTCAAACAATTCAACTTTCCGCTTGCCTGGTCGTCCTGATGATCAAACAATTACTGGGAATGTAGTCAGTCAACCATTAGCATCTGGCCCTCCAGTGTAAGTCTGCAAAATTCATGCACGGTTTCAGCTATGCGACACCCTGCAAAATAACTCAAGTCTCTTCCAAGTGCTAGATGCAAAATATGATGTTACTTATCCCTGTTCAGTAAATTTGACACCTTCAATCTAATGAAGCACAGTTAGTAGAATTCCTAGATAGTTTGCAAGGGTTCACTGTTGCAAAATTAATTTTCTTGTTTAATTGTCAAATTTCGTATCTTGTGAGCCTAATTACTTTTTTTCTGACGAACCGTGCTTCCTCTATTGCGTGGTGTGCTTCTCATACATCTGTTTGTGTTTGTGGATAGTTTGTAAAGGTTAATTATGGAAAAAATAATTTATCCCTTTGATGTCAAATTCTATATCTTATGACTCTAGTCACTTTTTCCCTGTTGAACACGCTTCCTCTATTGCATGGTGTGATTCTCACTAAATGCGGATTTTTTTCATATTTTATGAAATAATATAATCTCTTTTTCAATTGCAGAGAGAGCAAACAAGAAATCAATGCTGAAGATTGTGCTATCTGGTTGAAGAAGGAATGGGAAATTGGAGAGGCAAGCTTTTATATTTTTGGATTTCAATGTCTTTTTCCTTGCACTTCCCATTCAGTTTGTTTACATCTTCTGTAGAAACTTTTATTATTATTTTAGAATTTTTATACCTTCCCGTCTTTGGAAGAAGAGGGGGTGCTGATCCTTCTAGACGTCAAGGTTAGTGCCCAAACACAAATCAGGAGCATTTATAGATTTGACAGAGTCATCCCACATTTCACTGATTAGCTGCCATTTCTTTATCCATGATGCTAGTGTTAAAAGCTATCAATTTTAAGTAATCCCCTTTGCAGTTGTATGACCGAAATGCTTAATCTTGCAGATGAAATTACATCAAGTTTGGGTTGGTTGAGGCCAAACCTTAGATGAAGATTTCTAATCTGATGCTAAATTCTGACTGCCAAAATCCCTCATGAGTGGTCAAAAAATCCTTGCCTTTTTAGGTACTTAGACTGAAACCAACCTTAACAGGACCCGAAACACTTTATCCTCCATGCCTACATTGATCAATGCATTGCATGGTAGAAATATGTCACTGAAGACTTGGTTTGAAAGATTCAGAATAACCATGATTCACTTTTTCCAGATGTAAATTACTTGTTCATCCCTTATTAATGGCGTAGGAAGGCCACCAATTTACCGTCTATTGGATGACAATCATGGAAGTGATGATAGGAAGAAATCCAGTTGTTGCAGATTGTGTTGCTTAGGAAATTTAACTTAAAAGAATGGGCTATCTCATGTGCTCGTTAGTGTAAAGATTAGGAACTCTAATGACCCCATATATCCCTGCAAGAAAAGTAAGCTCGACTTATTGAATGGGGGGTGGATGATCAAATGCAAACTTGCTGGTACTCCCATTAAGATTAACCGCTGCACGCATTTAGGAGAAGATCTGAACATCCAAGGTTAATCTCGCAAGACCTTATACTTCTAGTGTAGTAAAGGCTTTCTCAATTCATATGTACTTGATGCTTCGATGAAGGCCGTGGATATAATCATGGGTCACATTTTAATTAGTCTCTAGAACAGGGTATACCAAAAATGAAGACTTCAAATACAAAGATATGCTGATGTGTAGCTATGTTCTCGTGATGCTAGTAGATTAACAACGATATACTGCACTTAGGGGGCTATCTAGTAACTTGAAGGGTGGAAGAAGCAGACCCTTGGTGCGGGATAAGTGTTGAAGCCAAACATAGGATGATGGCTCATGACTTGCATGAGCTTTCTATGCAGCAGACTCATGCCAGACATATTGAAATTTGTTGAAAACCAGAAAGGTAAGAGAACATGGACTGAAACAGAGGAAAGTTTCCTCTGTCACAGAGGATAGGGGAGGAATGGCGGTATCCGCCTCACTCTTCATTGAACTTTATCACCCTGTAAATAGGGAGGGAACCCTACATAATTATGACCAAAATGCTCTCAAACTATTACATAATTCCCCCCATAATATGATCACGATTTAGAATTCTAACAAAATTAACAGTCATTTCATCAATAAAAAACTTCAGAAATGTGAACTACAGCTGCCATATAGTTACTTCAGGATTAAATAATATGATTATTTGGAGCGCCATTGTGAAATGTTTCTTTTTTTTATGAGGGGGTGGGGAATATTGTTGAAGTGATTGAGCCTTTGTTATTGGCTATCTAAGCCCGTCTAACAGAACTAAAGCCAACAATTAGAATCCAGGTGTGGCTATTGTAACTAGCTTAATTTACATTTCACATCGCCACATTCTCTCTATAAATCGGGTGCAATCTCTTGTGTTTGATTTTCAGATAAAAATATACTTCAGATTGTGACTTGTTGCAAAAATGCCAACACCATAGAATTGTGTCGATGTATGTGCGACTCCTTTATTACTCCCTTTCTCTATATTGTTTATCAAAGACTAGCTGTTATCCAGGGAATACCATCTCTTCAGTATCTTATCCTGTGTCCTGGGCTATTTCTTAACCTAGACGTAGAACAGTATTTTCCACGTTAATGCCTTCTGCTTGGTTCCCATCTTCCCCTATTCTTATATACCTCCTACCAAATTTATTTTTTTTCGAAAAAGAAACGTTATCCTTTCCCCAATCAAATAATGAATGCAACTGCGTCTTTCTTTCATATGGTTGCATTTTCTTTCATGTTTATTGTACCGTTATTGCCTTGGTTTAGTACTCTCTAATATGAATTTTCTAGGCATCCTTGATAATGATCCTCTCTTACCACCAATACTCAGAAAGTTATCGTAGTGGTTTTCCTGTTACCAATTGACGTACATACTGCTCTGTTTAAGTTATCTATCTAGCTTTGAGAATTTCAACATGCCTATTTAATGAGTGATTCCGAAAAGTACCTTGAAAATAAACCACACTTTGATTTAATCATTTTTTTTCAATCTTTCAAAGAATTTTATCGTTGGTAATGTCCTCTTGTTTTCCTATTTTCAGATTCCAGAGGAAGAGCCCCCTGCTCGGTTCTGTTTGTAAAGGATACCAAATACCAATACGCTTTTAGGTAATTATTGATGAATTCTAGATCATATCACCAGATTTATACTCTACTATATGCAACTCCACTTGATCTTGCAGTTTTCTGCGGGTTTATTGTGCTTTAGAATTTTGAATATATGCACTTCGCTGAGTGATGAACAGTTCTGCGTCTTTGTCCCAAACTATGGTTCTTCTAGACCTATTGCTTTCATCGAGAGCTGTTCTGTCTTGGACCTTTTCCCAAAATTTTACCTAGAGAACTGCTGTTGTATTGATGAGTGGCAGTTAATGATTCCTTGTCAGGACCTTCTTGGTTGATCACTAAATCCTTGAGCGGGATGCACTGTATTAGTCAATCCTTGAAGGGGTTTGGTAATGTTTTGGGTAGCTTACTCTTTAAACGGCATGCATGTGGTATTTGCTACTATTGTTCCTAGTTGTCATTAGTGGTGTTTCAGCTCCCAAACATGTTTCTTCCTGTGGTCTTTGCTTTAAAGATATAATTTAGAGATCTTGAGGCATCTTCGAAGTCGCTACAATCTTTCATGCAGAGTTGCCTCCTCAGTGCAGTTACTAATTACCTTCCCTTTTACGTTTGTTTAACTTCATTCGTGGCTTGGGGATGGAATGTCATGGATTCGTTACTTGAGTGGAATGTACCCACTGAAGTCCCACCGAAATTGGTTTACAGGTCTGACAAGGGTGTGGGGGAACTCTGATCGTCATCATACGACTTAAAAGTGTCACTGAGCAGAGCGTCGACTCGTGGAGAGTGATGCTAACAGCCTGCAACCTGCAGTTTTTCTCCCCAAATTTGGAGCTCTCATGGATGCGTATGCTATTTACTACGCCTAGGACGTGCAGATAGGAGGAACCCGAGTCGTTCACTGGAAAGTGGAATAGGAGAGCCTGTAACGACGCCTGTAGCTTCGGGATTATCTCCATCTCAACAGAACAAACACCTCTTCAGGCTCTGGTTCTTCTGTGAGTTGGCCGATTAACACCAGCAAGTTTTCTCTAAAGTCTGTGCAGTATAAGATGCGAATGGCGCACATGCAGTATAAAATCTGTGTTGCCAGGTGCTGAGGGGCCCGTCGGATGCTGTGAATGACAGGCAACTTATCGGGATACGTGGGCTCGATGGCCGGATGTCCACCGGGTCGGTCAAAAAGCGGCTGCGCTACCCGATGTTGGATAATTCCCCCTCATTAAAGGCGAGAACAAGAACACCGTTGACTCGCCCAGATAGATCATAATAAACGGATAGGGCGATCACAAAAGTCGGCATCGTTTGCAGATCATGCAAGCGGGGATTATAGCTCATGTTCGGCAAGTGTAGATCACACGTGCGGGGCACGGCTTGTCTTGTTCTGCCTATTCTGAGCGAGCACACCCGAAGAAAGAATGTACAACAAACTGACGCAATTCCGAAAGAACAGCAAACTATTGGCGAGGGGCGCCCGCTCCTTTCTCCCCTCGTACATTACGTTGGGGATCATTTATGTTACACCTGCCATCGGAAGAGAGATGACTTTTGTTGCTGTTATACATGATGAATCAACGAATGACTCTGGACTCCGCGGCCGCGAGAAGCCTGGACGGACGCGCGGGGGAGGGGGGGTTACAACTCAACTGGGATGGGAGGGAGGGGGGATGGACACGGCGGCAGCACCTCAGCGACATCACCCACACCCCCACTGGAGTGAGAGCAGACATATCACCGGACCTCAGCTCCGAGAATCTCTCATCTTGTGCCCCCGTCGCCTCCACCAGCCCCTTCATGCGCGTGTGACCAAGAGGCGGAAGTTTCTCATTCATCTCCGTGAAAATGCCCACGGCGATTATGCGGGATTCCCTGCCACCTCCGCAGTTCTCATTCTCATCATCTCCATGACCGCAGCCCTCCTCCTAGAATCAGACTGCTGCTGCAATCTCCTCAGATGTTCTCTCAAATCCCTGTTTCCCGCCAAAAGTAAGAGAAACCGCGATGGTAAAAAGGGCATTCAATCAGCATCAGCAAACAACAGAAGGCAAGGGTTATTAGCACACCTGCAGCGCGGTACGTGGCAGTCTGATTCTTTGCAAGCCCTGGCGTGCAGATGGAGAAGGTACCACATCTTTTTACACAGGACACAGCCCCCAGAAGCACGTGTTCTACATGTGATTCCATGCCGAAAGAGTCCCTTAACTTTACGGCAATTGGGGTACTGACAGTGCTGCGAGCGGCACTGAGACGAGTGCACCAGAAGATCGAGCATTTTCCGAAGCTGCAGCACAGTCTGCATTGTTAGCATACGAAGCAGAAAAGCGACTTTTCCCCAGCAAAACATGAGCATACAAATTGAACAATAGAAGAGCAAATTTGCGAAACGACGACAACAACTGTGGTCTCTGGGGAAAATAAAAGGGAAAAAGCCACCAGGAGGCCTCCAAAGCTAAATACCAACTTGCGTTTAGCAACATTAAAAGTATTGCAATCATTGTGATCAACACCTCAGTTAATCTTCATGCATTAAAATAACAAACACATTCCACCACAGCTTGTTCACACATCCTGCAGCAGAGTGGTTGATGTTAAACTGAGCTGAAGGAGAGCAAGAAACTGAGTCAACCAGCAGAGTGCGCAGGTTAAACCAGGGGAAAAAAAAAAAGTTTAAATTCTTCAGATTTCTCCAAGCTGATTCGAACTTGAGAACTCTTCTCCTTACCCTGCTTGCAATAAGCATCGACAAAACAACATACCTGGAATCGGTCTTGAAAGTCTTAAAGCTTCTGCCCAAACAACACATCCATAGCTTTAGCTAAACTATAAATGACCAGTCTAGACTGGTAACTCGCTTCCTATAAAATTTATTGTAGTTATTACCCAAGAGGATCCACCTCTTCTCTGGACATTATTTCATGTTCTCTTCCCAGACAATGTCGAGATCTTGCTGTCACCTCTAACAAGCAAAGTCTCGCGTGCTCTCTTACACACATCATACTATTTCCTCAAGAGTTCTTTATAAGATTCAATGCTGTGGTCCAATAAACAAAGAAGGATGATGATAAAAACTCCTAAAAGACCTCTTCCTGTTGATTCGTTTCATTTCAAAGAATATTCCTTCCCTCAGAATAATGTCCAGGCGAATTAGTCCAGGCTATCATCACCTCCTCCCAAAATTTCACGACCATCTGGTGCACCACCATCTTACCCTCGTGTCAGTAGATCACATTAATTATATAGGCACACGACAATCTGACTGCCTCGTCCTCCCATCCACAATTGAAGTCCTTGAATTCCATGCAAGCAAGTTCATCGAATTAAACATGTCCAACATTAAGTCTAAAAATATCCATGAGAAAATTGAAGATAATTACATATCAGCAAAGGTTAATATAAGTTGACATGCACAAAAATACGTTTATGAGTCGAAAATAAATAAAGTTGCAGCTATGGGAAAAAAGAACGATCTTGTAAAAAAAAAAAAAAAAACTTTTACCTGCAAAACTCTTTTCTGCCGAGCTTCCTTGTTCTGTGCATTTCGGTCGGCTATGGATGGATGATTTGTTAACCGATGAGGATGATTAACACCCCCATCTCTTTTATAACAATCATTGCACACATCAAAATCAGGGCAGATTTCACATCGCCAACCCTGACCAGTTTCAATATCGCGATGGCAGATATTGCACGTAATTACAAAAGCAGGTGCTGTTGGATTATGAAGGTGATACAGAACCATTATTGAAGAATGCTTGGCACGGCGTAAAGTGTCATACTGATAATGATTTCCTTGGCAAAGGCTCAGAAATGCTTGTCTAGTGTCGAAAAATTCACTTTCCAGTATCTCATCCTTATCTTTGGTATCCGTGGGCACACCAACGATTTCAACCTGCTCATAGATAATTTGTTAGGAATTTTGGAATCAGTACTATACCATGCAATTACAATATAGAACCAGTAGTCACAGAACATCGACAGTAACTGCAGGAAGAATATCTAAGATACTCACTGAAGTCAGAGTATGCATTTCCCTGGCATTAATAGGATGCCTTTCTCTTTCTTCAAGCTTTTGCTCTGCATCATAACACCTACATACATGTTTAATACCATTAAACGCCCCATAAAAAAACTCAACCAACAACAAAGCTTGACACCATGCCACATTACTAGAAAACCAGTGTGTCACATGCATTCAGAGATTAACTGTGAATCCATAATTAATCTCTGAAACCATATGTAGCTTTTCAATAATTAACTGTCAAGGCTTATCCCTTTGTAATAGCTAAAATATTTGGAGGACTACGATAGGCATGCACCGCGAGAAAAGATGAAAAAAGACTTGAATGGATACAAATCTGATGAGATTGCTATTTTCATGCTTCAAGTTAGGTATCCTCGTTGATCTAAGGTCTGTTTACGATGTGGCCCGCCACATTCTGAGGATTTGCACCACACCCTGAGCAAAAGGTACAAAATGGGTGCATTCTCAGGATATTACCCCCCCCCCTAATTGAAAAGCAAAACTCCTAGTAGTGGTTGTCCGCTGTACATCCTCAAAAAGTAACCCAAGGAAAACAAAAAAATTAGGATGTTATGCTATATGGACTTTTACATCATCTAAAAATATTTTAGAATGGAACTTGGGGATAGACGGATTCTTGGAAGGACACAAATAACATCACGAATGTTCTACCAGTCTTTACATTGAACGGAAAATCATACCCATCAATAGATTCTAAAACAAAGTATCTTTATATTCAACACGTGGTGCTTCAATCTCCCACCAAAAAATCCATCCAAATTATTTTCAATCTTCCTATTCCCTCTTGGATCCTCGTAAATACGACTACATTGCCTAACAAGTATTCCAGTCAACCTCGGTTTTACTTGTCCCATTCATCTCAAGAATCTTCATGGACTCTTATCTCCTACTTTTTCCATCCCAATCCTCTCTCCAACAAAATCAAATACAATCCCACCTTGCCTACCTCTACATAAACCATAACACTTGAAATACAGTAATTCTGATCTTACGACCCAACAACCTGCCAGAGAGAAGAAAGATGGTCTAACTGCAATTACATACTCTATTTCATCTCAATTATAAGAAGATTTACACAACATCAATTCCAGAAGCATAACTGTGGTTCTGAAAACTTTCACAACAAAACAAAGGATGAGAGAATGACATAATAACCAGGATAAGACGTAATAATCAGGCCATCTTGTGTAAATCAAGCCAAGGCGTAATAATCCCAGAAAAACCCTTCCAAACTCCTCTCCAATCACCCGAAATCATTTCATTTTGAATCTGTATTATACGATATCTTAATTAAAGATATTTTAAATCAACATAGCAAGCTAAAAAAGGTCATGGAAATTAATCCAACATCAGGGTTCAATTGATTCTGGCAAAAACCATAACTAACCTGTCTTTTAGTTTTTTTAACCTTGTTTCTGTGTCAATAGATTCATTCAAGAACATGGACGCAAAATTCAAAAGAAGTTCCTAATGGTTTAGGATTTTGTTGAAAAACGATTATAATTTTTTTAAAAAACAGAAAAAATGAAATATGATTAAGATAAAAACGATAGCTTCACGTAGATATGATCTATGTATTTTTGGTAAAATTTTCATTTCATCATCTTGCAGTTAATTACACGTAATTTTTACTCATAGCTGTAAACAAGATTTTGAGATAGGAGGATCTATTATATGCATTATGAACATTTATTTAGTACCCACCATTTTCTCAAGTATGTAGTAAAGAGTCCGGAAAACGAGAACTCTATTCCCCACTATTTTATAAATAAACATTTAATCTTATTTTTTGGTTTATTCTTGCATTAATCCGTTCGCCTCCAAAATTACGTGTTACACAGCATTTAACTTTCTCAAAGATGAGAACTGAGAATTAGCAAACAGGACAGGTCTGAAATACACCCAAGGAACCAAGGGGTGTATAATTAAACATCAAGCCCTACACTTCAGTAGTATTCATTTGATTAAAACTGAAAGGATTTGGGTCAAGTCATTTTATTTGTGCAAATAAGAATGATATCCTTCAAGCTGCCTCAATTTTCAGGTTTATTGAATTTGAAAATAAGTCTGTTTGAATAATATGAGCTACTAAAAAAAATTATGCGAACAAAAGTAAAAAGCATAGAAAAAACCAGAATGCTCACATAAAACGAGTCAGCAAAGCCAAAAAAAACTTCGAAAAAAAAAATTAATCAGAGAAGAAATGCTTACTTGTCACAAAGTTGAAAATTCTTGCATTGCTTACAAACCCACCGCACTCCAGATGTCATCAGTAGGCAGCAATGTGTGCATGCATGCTGCAAGTGGACCATGATGAAATCTTCCTTCATTGGAAAGATGGTTTCACCAAGCTGTGAAAGGGTAATGTTGAAGGAACGAGATGAGAACTAATGGTGTGGTAAATAAAAGTTCCTTAACAACCGATTAATAAGAAACTTCACACAAGCCAATGTACGAACTTATACAGGATAAAAATGTCAAACATTGATGGTTAATCTTATTCCATAATAACTATTAACCGAATTAGAAACGCTGTCTCAGAGGTACAGAAATGTCTGAATTTAAAGTCGAAAGGAAACTTTTCAGATTTTTTAAGTTACGTAAGAACGTAAAACAGTCAACAAACGGAAAAGGTGCAGCCCTTGCCTTTTGCATCAACAGAGCATCCTTAGAAGCATTCCCAGTGAGGTCAGATTGACCAGCAGCTTTCAGAGCCCTTTTCGTTATAGTCTTTTTGGTCTTCCCCTTTTTCTGTTGTTTCCGATCATCTTCTTCCTGCTGAAGTTGATTAATCAAATCTTCCGCAGCCCCAGGCCAGTAGTCACCATCAAAGTATGGCAGACGAGCAGCAGTCACTTTAGCCTTGCATTCACCCGATTGTATAAAGAAGTGGTCGTATAAATTAGTCAGATCAACGACAATACTTTCTTTTGAAGCCTTTCGTAGCATTGCCAAGTACCTGAAACACATTCTCCGATTAATTCGAGGAACCCAGTATGTATGCACTATGTGAAATTAAGAGAATGACGTTAATTCTAGGAATATAATCATAATGATTATAATACTGACCATTCTCGAAGCTTGTCAGATTTAGGTGTCTTCTGAATCTCTGGATGGCAATATAAGATATAGTCTTCACCTTTCAGTGGAGGACAAGCCCATATATAACAGCTCGTGAAGCCACGTAACTTGCAATACTCAAGATATCCAATCTGAAAATGTGTATTTAGCAATAAGACGGTGGTTATGACTTGATGACCAGAAAATAATCCCAAAAAAAGGTTCGAGTGTCAAATTAATAATAAATCAATCAACAAAGATCTATATAACACTGCATGAATGTGAAAAACAATAAAACGAGGAAACTAGTTTAGGGATGTGGAGGCTAGATTTCCAAGTACCAGAATTTCATGGTAAACAAATGTACGTAAAGCTTCTCCCGTGACTGTCTTAATCTCAGGCCTGAAGTACTTGACAGAGTCTAGATATGAAAGATAAACACGCCTTTGATTTGGAAACTGGCATTCTGAACCGAATTCTTGAACATACATCCCAAAGAGACAAACTTCTACGCCTTCTATCTTTTGAAACAGCAACACAACCTGGATAAGAGCATTAAAACGTAAAAAGCGGGCATAATTAAAAATAAATTTATATAAGGTTATAACTGCAAAGTTTTGAACCAAAACCTTTCCATGAATTTCCCATTGTAACATATTTTCAATGAAACTGTAAGCAGGAAACTTCTATGTTCATTCACAATTAAAAGAAAAGGCACGAATTGTACCTTGGATTTGTATGGGAACTCTTTTGGATAGTTCTCTTCCTGAAAGATCTCCAAAAACCGTTGTTTCACTTCCAACTTCTTATCAACTGATGATACAACTCTAATAACAAGTGATTCTGCCCCCGGAATCTGGATGCGATAATATAAAAAAAGCATCAGAATGATGCCATAAATAATTAGCAGTCCAACAAAGGCATCCGCTAGTAGAGTGAAAAATTCTTCACTTGTATCAAACTCGTCAAGAAAAAACATGAGTATTTCTGGACATTGTCATTGTCTTTCTCCGGCATATGTTAAAGAACTAGAATTTGCCATTGGGGAACGTTCTTTTAAAAGTATTAAACTTTCCATTGGTACATAATAGAAAACTTGTTAAAAAAATATATAAAATGCTACATATGTTCATATTAATTTTCTCCAGATCACAAACGAACAAAGGATTTGCAATCTGGGATGTACATAGAAAATTGGCTTGTCAATCGCTCTCAAGTACTTCACTTCCACACGAAAAATTGTACAGAGTTCCTAATTGCAGTTTATAAATAATACATCCATGCCACCTTATTGAAAAGAAAGATCACAAAATAATGACAAATATAGATTTTAAAGAACTAAGGAATGTAAAGTAGACTAATTTAACCAGAATCACCTCGTCAACAGACTTTCCGAGATGCTTGGCTCTCTCCATTTTTTCCTGCTTTAGCCGTTTAAAAAGATATTGCTCTATGTGATCACTAAGTATTGTTCTAGGCAAGTCTTTTGCACCAAGAACAGCGCTCTGTGGTAAAGGCATACGCTCTCCTCTTTCAATCTCTTGTATGTAGCAATTAGGGCATGTGTACTCGGCTTGCCCTCCATCATTTCGCCGTCCATTGAATAGTGCGCAAATCTGATGTTGCCACGCTTCACATTTATCACATTGAACCCACTGTACGTAGAAAATTTAAAGAAGAAAAGGTGAGTGATATTTGACAAAACAACATGGAATTTATCAATTGTAAGGAAACAACTCACCCATTCTTCAGTTTCTTCATCATTTTTTTTCCTCTCAAACTTTGCCTTCAGATAGGGAGTTCCCTCAACCTCAATAGAGTCACCACGAGAGTCATTATAACATGGAACACAAAAATAATGTCTCGTATCACCAGACCCGACAGCATAATAATTTGCATTACGCTTAATGCGGCCACCACATAGTGAACAATATATCGGAGGGGGTTCAAAAGTAAGCTTCTCTACTGCACACAACTGGCATGAATTCTCATTCATCGAACGTTCCATTGCTTGGTTTTTCTCAGCCTTTGCTTTGCTCTTCAAGACAAAGAAAATAAGATCAAATAAAGGCAAATTAGAGACAAAAATATGTTCACACTTCGCATGTCAACCAAGGGGCACGCATACAGGCACTTAGTGAGACTTCAAAAGTTCTAATAGAAAAATCGGTTTTAACCCGTCTAAAGAATAAATAACATCCAATAATAGGCAAGGAATTTGAAGAGGAGCAAAGTTCTCTCATTATGGATATCTCAATGCAAAGATAGTTGAAATTCTATGCATCTGCTTACGAAATAACCTTCACGTGATCCTCAAACAGGAATACTCTAACGACACAACTTTTAATTAAACAATTCTCTCATTTTTTTCATCATGAAGTTTTCCAAGGTACTGCACTGTCCAACATGAACCCTACAAGATTGACCAGGTACCCGGTGAGGATAACCATTGGCTGGAAAGGATTCAACAAAAGTGTTATAAGACAAGTTAGTGACCAAAGGTACCTTGTCATAGTTTAGACACATACCACCAAGGAACAGTGGCTTCGCACATTAATAAGATTTTAACAATGAGAAAGCAATATATCTTGTTGCCATAAAGCAATAAAATTAAACACACGGACTCAGCAAATTGAAAAAAAAATAAAACATAATATAAAAAGACAAAAGGGAGCATGACATGGAAAATGAACTTTCTACAAGCAACTGCTCAAAAGTTTCATTTTAAATTTCCTATACACAAGTTCCAACAGTCTCCAGTCTTAATTACTGAGAAAAATGAGATAACACAAAAAATGGTAGTTGAAGGATATCGACGCTTGACATGTTTACCTGGCCAACCCATTGCCTGAGACTGACAATATGCTCCCGAATTTGCTCAGGGGTGAACAATTCAGTCATTGATACACCCTTTATCTTTGGCTTCCCTGATTTACTACCAGAAACAGGATCAGCTGTATGCACACCGCCTTCATGTTTTGCTTCCACCGCAGGCTGATCAGTATCTCCATCAATCTGCATGCTTTCTGTTTTATGAGAGCCATCATGCTCATCTCGACGTACAGAATCTGCATGCGGCCTTGAAGTGTACACATCCCCAAAATCCTCCATACTTGCACTGGTGAATTTTTCAGTTTTTTCCAATCCTGAAGCTATTGATGATTCTGTTTTCACATCAACAATTTCTGGCTTAATGGATAACAGCACGTCTGCCTGTTGATCCACTGGGGCTTTGACCTCATCACATGCATCCGATGGTTCAAGTTGAGATCCTTCACCCTTAGATATCAAAGATGAGGGAGGTTCTAGCTTCCTGCGTTTTGATTGAGAATGTAGATCTTCTTTAGATGGCATACATTTGCTTGGCATCTGTCTCTCAGCATCAGCAACATTCGTTTTCCAAGAACCATTATCTGAACAAATGTGATCAGCATCAGGACAAATGGATGTTTTACACTGCGATGTTACATAGGCATGAACAGGAACACAAACAGGGCAATCTTTAACTTGGCATCTGCGATAATGCTTAATGAGAACTTTTGACTGATGACAGCGAGGATATCCACACTGATCCTCTTTACAACTTTTCATATGAAACAGTAATTGTCGCACAGTCATGCAGTTAACTTCTTGACATTTACCGTTTGGAGATGGGCACCAGCGGGCATGGTGCAGAAACAGCAGCCATCTCTGTTGATTGTAGTACTGTCTTTCACGCAGTGAGTTTCCAAGTCCATGCACTACACTTGTTGACTGTGGTATTGTCAAACTAGTGGGAGCAACAGCAGAACGAATAATAGACCCCTCCACAGAGAAATTAGGCCGTTGAGCTTCATCTTGTCCAGTAATCCTCTGGTGAAAATCCTCCTGAAAATGTTTCTCAAATGATGATTCATCCAGCACGTGTGATTTCTGTACTGACTGAGAAAGCCACTGATTCTGCAGACGCGCTTCCAACTGTGCTTGGTTGGAAACATAGTTAAACTGATTTTGTGATTGAGATGACTGATTATGCGGATACAATGTTTGCTGCATTTGCTGAGACCCCTGCGACAAAGCTGAATGAAAGACCTGAGGCAAAGAAAATTGACCAGGTGTTCCCTTATTATTTTCAGAAGAAGTACTTGTCTGGAAGGGGTTGTGCAACTCGGAATGGTGAAACTGTTCAGAAGTCTGGAGGAGTAAAGGTTCAGGAAAAGTGTCTGTTTCGTGCTCGCTTATGGCTTGCCCAACAAGGCCAGACATGAGTGACGACTGCCTCACAGCGTCATTCTTCAGTACATGTCTTTGATGTTGCTGACTATGGCTCTGCTGTTGTTGATGATGTACATATTGTCCATATGTTTGGACAGGTTGTTGCTGAAATTGCTGCTGCTGCTGTTGAAATGTTTGCATCTGCTGCCGGGGCTGTCTTTGCTCTTGTGTAGAATGAACTGGTTGCGAATTCACCTTCTGTAAATGATCAAAAGCTAGAGGCTTATGTGAAATATCCTGCTGCGAACCTTGCTGATGGGTATGCAAAGGATTTATTTTTGATTTAGACTGAAAATTCATTGGGTTTATGCTCTGATTGCCTAATGTGGATCCAATAGGGGTCGTTGAGCCATACAATGTCCCAGATCCTGATAAATCAGATGCATTGCGCCCATATCCGTCACCAGCCACAGGAACATTTAGCTGGGATGATGATGCTGCACGAAGAAGCTTACATCCTCAATTTAATGAAGAATGGGGGACCTCAAGGCCCAGGTATGAACAAAATACACAACAAGAGAAAGGGGGGGTGGGAGAAAGGAGGAAGGAGGATTTACTTGTCATGATTGGTTGATGCTGCAGGGCCCTTGGTGAACTGCCATAAGTAGTTGAACTCAAGGAACCTTCAGATGCTGTAGGCACATTCATTAGCTGTATGTTGTTACCAATTAAGCCCAGTCCACCACTACTTGTAACTCCATTTGAGAGCCCATAATGGGATGGCCTCGGTTGTACACTAGATCTCAAGCCAGCACCCATCTGCATTCCAAGGCCGTGGAGTATGCGGCTGCTCTGATTTCCAAAATACTGCTTTGGCGGCTGATGCTGATGTTGTTGTTGCTGTTGGTGATGTTGCTGCTGCTGTTGCTGCTGCTGTTGCTGCTGTTGCTGCTGCTGTTGCTGCTGCTGCTGGTGCAGCTGCTGCAGTTGTTGTTGTTGCTGCTGCCTTCGATGTTGTTGTTGTTGCTGTTGTTGTTGTTGTTGTTGTTGTTGTTGTTGTTGTTGTTGCTGCTGCTGCTGCTGCTGTTGCAGCTGTAATTGTTGTTGCTGTTGTTGCTGTTGTTGCTGTTGTTGATGTAGTTGTCGTTGTTGCTGATGCTGCTGTGAGACAATTTTCGGCTCAACATTAGAAAAACCAGCCCCGCTACTACATGCAGAGTTCATTGGCATAGATTTTGGAATATTTAATCCAGGAGTAGGTATCATCTGACTTGAGTGGCGTGGCACAGCAGACATCATACTATTTCCACTGGATCCAATAGACAAATGTGCAGCTGACTGCTGGTACCCAGTATTTGTTAACAGACCTGCAGGAGAAAACATTATAGATTGCCCTCAACAAAAGTAAAATGGGACACAAAACAAAAATGATAAAAGGACTTTTCCACCAAAGGTTTACCATCAGATGTAGTGAAAGTGCCACTATGTCCAGTGCTAGTTACACCATTTGCAGATGGTACTATACTCCCCATGTTGGCAGGAGTCGGCTCGACATTACCAAACCTAGTGGTAACAAGCATGGAGTTGTCCAAGGAACTGGGTAGTGATGGGTTTGAGCTATTGCTCTCTGACATGCCTGGAGTCGGTATCATTGTACTGACAGGAGAGGAAGATGAAATGTGGCGTGTTGCTGGTTGGTTGTGATTGGGATATCCCCTGAGTATAGAATGTAAACGGCTCTCCAACGTCTCCATGTTCAAGTAATCCTCCTGATTCGAAAAAAAAGTTTCAAAATGAGCCAAAAGTATTCGGAATGTCCAAGATCTGGAATACATAGGCCTCCATACCTTCAGAAAACGACAATGTTTCTGCAAAAGGTTAGAAATGAAACCCAAAATTTGTTGGCCTACTAGAAAATCCCTCGAATAATTATTTGAAGTACACTAAAGGAACACAAACTCATTATTCTCGCGAACATCGGGAAACTCAACACCTAGAAGATAAGAAAAATAATATACTGAAATTAAGAAATAATAAAGCATTAACCGTTGTAGGAGCAGTCCTATAAAGTCCATCTTCTAAATGTCTCACTATATCAGGCAAACTTTGCAAATGTTCAGCACTGGAACTAGAACGTCTGTGATGAAATATTTGTGTGCTGCAAAAACGGAACATAGATTTCAATCAGCAACAGTTTTGATAGAAAACCAAGGTCAAATTCGTGAACAAGCACAATTGTGCTCACCAAAGTTCAGAGAATGCGTATATACGAAAATTTTTGCAGACATGAAATTACAAAAATTTAGGACGATTATAACTATTATCAACCCCATATCACCCAAATTCCCTATTTTCAGACGCTCCCAACTCCATCCAAGGCGATCTGAGTCAGATCATACCTACCAGATTGGCTAATTTGTCCAATAAGAGGGAAAAGCTTGATTCATGAAAAAAATGAAAAAAAAAATGAAAAAAAAAATGTATCTAAAGTTTTGAAAGAATAATCTTTAATAAAGTGTCTTCTTCTTCCATGAACTGTATGATTATGTATTCAGATGAATCATGTTAAATCAAGCAAAAATAAGCAAATTTCTTCCGAGGAAGCTAAATTCAGGACGAACCAGTTGATACATAAACAATTAAGCCCGGTCAGTGGCTACTTTTCATAAAATAGATATTCAAGTGGGAATCAGAATGCACCCCACCCCCAGCCAAAAATTAAATTGACTAGTTGCAATTCAAAGAACCATAACTACACCTGCTTGCCACAATTCTCCAATTGTTCCATAAAAGAAAAGCCCAACGACCAGGCGAACTAGTTAGCCAAGAGTAATTGTGGAATCTCCAAATTAAGCACTTTCTGTTCCATTTTTAACAGAGAGCGATCATGAACAATAGGCGAAAAAATAATCACATCTATGTCCAGAACTGATAAAATGGAGGTTGACAAGCCCGCATATGTACAATGGCAGATGCTAAACATCATTAGTGCGTCCCATTAATGATCATCATTGTTGAAAGTTGAGGGTTTAATTGGAACAAATCTATGTCCGAGCTTGTTCCTCTAGCCTTTTTCTGCAACAAACTTTTGCTTCCAGCCCAGGGGTATCTAATAACCTATCATTCTGCAACTTTTGTCTATTTACATACGAAAAGAACTGTGTTCAGTGCAAGTGTGACGTGATCACAGCATTCAGATTCTCCCAACTATGAAAACAGACACCAGTCCAGCAATTTACCCATCAAAAACCTGTCAATCAGGATAAAATAGTGCAAAGTAGCAAAATCGTTATCATTTTATCCACCTCTATTTGAACGTCTACTGCCACTTGTAATGAAATTTAGCGATGACTATAATATCATACTAAACAGTCCGTTTAACATGCAGACTAGAAGCGGCTTCAGTATACATATCAATTAAAAACTCAAAAATCAGTCATAGCATTAATGGAAGGATCTTAAAGAATTTTTTCTTAACCTGATCCCTTTAATGTGTTTCTTTAGATGACAGCCTTTCATAATTAGTTCCCGCAAATTTCACATATGAGCAAGTTTAAAACTGATGAAGAATACACAAACATTGAGACAGAGTAACGGGTAATGTCACCCAGCATCATGCTTTGTGGCCGAAAAAATGTTTTATCGACGAAGGCATGTAAGAATATAACAGCATAAAGAGAATTCTCATAATGTCTCGTCTCTTGGGGAATGATCAACAGAAAGCCAATAAACAGCGGATCAAGAATGAAGTACACACTGTTAATCTGGAATTATTAAGTCCGTATTTAGGGAATTAAAGTGCACAACAGAGACACTGCAGTAAGATGACGCTAGAAGACCTATCCATGTCACTCAGAATCCAAAACGTCGTTTCCTGATAATATTAATGCAAACATTAGGCAACATTCGTAATGTATTCGTACTACAGAAAAATAACAGAGATTCAAGTCAACTCGTAGTCAGTCACTCAAGACAAGTGAATATTCTTAGACATAAGTCACACTTTAGCATCAAGACAGAGAAATAGGATTTTCCCCATAGGTCAAGAACAGAACAAAGACATGATGATGAAACAAAGAAACTTACATTTTATCACGCATTAACTTGCGTTGGACAGCAATATCTGGATCCATACTGTTGACAGCTCCTAAGCCTTGCATCTGCACAGGTAGAGTGTTCACATTCTGCTGCGATAAGACAGGCAACTGCGACCCAGTTTGACTGGGTACCTGGCCCGACATCTGTGCTTGCATGTTCATCTCTTTCCCTCCTTGAGACTCTATTTAGGAACTGTGCAGGACTTCATATTTCCGAATCACACAATGTACCCCCACAGAACTAATCCAACTGCATAACAGTTCTTCTATTCCAAATAATTTGACAATGAGCTGGAGATACATTGCACCCCACACGTCATGTCATGAAATGGCTTGCTTTCTTCGCATGTTTCCTGGTCCAATTGACACTCTCCTTGGTGCGAGCAAATGATCGAATTTCCTAAAGAATCTTTCTGGAGTAGTTTACGCCAATGCAGATCACCTGTCAGGCTTGGTGAATATAGTGTATTCCAAGGTTGCCATCATCGTCATAACTGCAAAAATACAGAAAACAATGAAATTGGAGTGCTATGAACAGATGGCTATTCCACGGAAAATCTAATTCTACTGATCCAGTTGTGTTCCTAACAACAGGGCATATGAGGACTGAAAGCCGGAAGCACATAATTCCTTCCTTGAACATGGATGATCCTCTCTTAGAAGCAATTATAACTGCGACGAAATTTAAAGGCGACAAAGTTGCACGTTTTTGGACAAGACGACGAGGAATATCTACAATCGGCCAGTCTGAGGGCCGATTAAAGAACCCTAAGGGCAACCCGCGAGGGAGACAACTGACCTTCCTTATTGAATCGAGGGCTGCAACGAATGCTAGAGCTACGACGACCGAGATGGCCGGCGCGCCCCAACTATCTCTTCATTCAGGAGTTGGGCCCTCACCTGAGATGTTGTTTAGCGACGAAGGATTACGCCGCACAGAACAAGAGAACACGCGAAAATGAGTGGAAAAAGAGATCCCTCCAGAATAGATGAATAAGCACCGCCGTGCCTCGCCACGCCTCGCGATTCCACCGAGATCCTCCCTCGCGAACGACAAGAGGACGACGGGCTCGAGAACAAGGCGGGAATAGCAGCGCGGCGTGACTGCCACTGCCGCCCCTTCAATTGGATGGCTGGGGGGGATGGACGCGATGTGGACGATAGCTGCGCCAATTGCCCCTATTCCCTTGAAATCCAGGAGTAATGATCGAATGGAGTACCCAATTGGTCGACGGCAGTGGCAACCCCCCACTTCCCCGGAGCGGATTGATCGGCCGATGGCGGCGCGGTGAAGCGGGAAAAATTCAAGTCCACTGCTGCTGCTGCTGCTGCTGCTGCTGCTGCTGTTGCCGCTGCTCCCTCCTCTGCCGACTACGAGTCCAACAATCACAGCTTGACGACGGGCACCCACTCGTCGTTCTCACACGGCTTTCTCCTCTTTCCCTCTTCTCTATCCCCTCGGGTTCTTCCTTTCCCCGGTAGCTGACCCTCTTTCTCTCTGTCCCTGCCTCCCACCCTCCCTCGATCGACCGAGTTGAGCTTGAGTTCCGTTTTGCTTGCCAACCGCGGAGCACGTCGCCGTAGTTAACCCCTTTTCCCCCGCTTTTCTCGCATCCGCCCCAGGAAGCTTTGGCCGAAATATAAAAATACCATCATTCTCCAGCAATTGGGACCCTCTCTCGCCCCCCCGTCTATCCGATTTATGAAGGAAAACGCAAAAACAGTAGGTGGATCTGTAATGATAATGATAGTGATAACAGTTATCTTATTACCGATGCTCAAATGTTTCCAATCCCGCTGCTTCGGCTTTATTGACACAAGCTTAATTATATATATTTAATAAATCTAGATATAACGAGGGATAGACTAAATGTCAAATATGAAGATTATTGAGCATAAAACGAGCATATAGATGTCGAACGTTTTCACTTGAAAAATAAGTAACGACGGGTCAAATCAAGATGAGATAGTTTCTATACCAATTAGGCTAGGCGACGCGCAAATAGATAATAGATTCAAGCTACAAGATAATTTTATATTGGTTCAGTCTATGTGACCTACGTCTACTTTACAAAAACATTATCCTTGGTTTTTAATACATCCTTTGTAAGAACGCACTAAAGTGTCAGCTCAACAACCTACAATATTTCATAACGTTAATTCACTCGAAATTTTTAGATCTTCTTTTAAATAGCTCTAGGTGACCAAAATCAGAGAAGCTCCTTACTTTTCTTTTCTAGATTTGATGGCTTTAGGTGGCCAAGTAAGAGATACATTTAATACCAAATAACTCAATTTTTAAAAGAGAGAGAGAGAGAGAGAGAGAGAGAGAGAGAGAAATGTTATTTGGATAGTAAAATAATATATTTTTTTCAGGAAAATCAAGATATAATATTTTAGATCTTTAATACTAACCCCATCAATTGGATCCACTATACTTTTAAAATTTAGCCTAATAAAAAAATAAATTCAAACTTAAATTCAGGCCAAATAATTGAATCAGTTTCATTTAACTTCTGGTAAAAAATATAATTCACCTTAAATTCAAGCCCAAAATTAAATCAATTTTAATTTAAATTTAAGCCAAATAATTAATTCAATTTACACTTTTTTAAAATAAAATAAACCAACATAAAATAGATAAATATTCAACACTATTATTTAATATAAAATATTCAAATATAGATATCAAAATTATTATATCACCTTAAAAATAGTCATATATATTTTAAATATTCATATTAATAAATTATTCACATTAATACTTAACTAGATTAATAATTTACCCAATAGATGTGATTATCATCAAATTACATGACACATATGTTGGAATTGTATGACTAATTGAAATATCAAGTAATGAGGTGAATTGAATTTTCAGAAATTTTGATGATTTCTTAGTTTTAGTGTGATTTTCTATTCGTGCTAGTCTATTTGTCAACACAAATAATCTAACTATGAACTAAAAGGATTTATGTCAATACATGTATGAATGGCTATTTGTAATGGTAAGACCTCTCAAAAGTTTATGACTTTGAATATGACTTTTATACTTGTTTGTCCTCACTTTGCTACCTTCAATCTTGGAGAAATTTATCTTCTAGATGTAGTTATTTCTTTCAAAAATATACCCTAAACATAATGGGATCACAAGCATGAATCTCATGATCATCTCTGCATAGACCTTTCAGTACATCAATTCTTCTCAAGCCAAATAAGGTGGTAAACACCACATAACTTTGTCAAACCCACTCTGCCCTCATAATCTTATTATGTTAAGGCCTAATGAAGAACACATATTCTAATTATGCAATTATTTGGTTGTCATATCAAGTTGATGAAAAAGATACTACAGTTCATTTGTTGTTGATGTATGCAAAGCAAAATCTTGATGTAGAGCATGAAATCTCTTAGTGTATTATTTTCTTTTGGACACATAAAACTTTTCTTTAAGTTGCCTTTCATCTTCTATGAGTTTTTCAATTTTTTTCAATCTCCAACATTTTAGTTGATTTTTTATAGTATTATTTTTTATTAGAATACACCTTTTATATGTTGATCTTTCAATCTTTTATTTTCTTTTTTCCTATATTATTTTGAATATACATTTTAATTCATGTTTTTTAACTTGGTGGAGGATACTAAGAATCAATTTTTGACTTTAGATAATCTAATTTTCCTTCAATTTTTGTCCTTGTGCTTATCTAACATGTCATAGTCGAGGTAAAGTTTTTAAACTTGAACCGTTGATTCAATATTTTTTATTTTTATTGATTTGATACTCATAATAGCTTAGAAAACCTATTTAACATCACATGAAAAGAATATATCATACATATAAACTACAACATGATGGTTGGATCATCATAAATATAATAAGGATGGAATATTCTTTTTTCAAATGTATCAATCTAAGAATAACGTAATACATATTTCAATTGATAATTACTTGTTTTCAATCATTTCTATGATAGAAAATAACTTAATCTCAGAATTGAAACCTCAATATTAGACATTAGAACTTAAGTCATAATAATTAGACTAAGAATATAATTCCAATTAACATGATTAGATCATTGATATATGAAACATTAACTTAACTTCATTTCTAAGTTAAACATATGAGTTAAAATTCAATTTCATATGTTTATCTCAAAAAATAAATCAGTGATTTTTTAATAATAAAAAATCAGTGATTTATATGTAATAATAAAAACCAAAGACATCAGCAATCTAATTAATCAATGCTCACTTTTAATTTTTATAGAGGTTATAAGATCTCAATAATTTTATAATAGTTTTGATATTATAAAAAAAATCTTAAGATTTTTGAAAATATTAATGATCTCATAAATTAGGGAAACATGTATGAAAAAATGTAATTCTCAATCATGGAAAACACTTCATATTTATGTAGTAATAAATCAATCTTTGATTTTTTCACTAGAGATGTTTGTTGATAAGTGACCTTTGATAGGTCCCAAATCTCATTGGCACTTTACTCAAATGTCCTATTAAACTCATTAATGTCCAAGGCATGACATAGTGTTAACAACATTAGCATTCAAGGCAGGTTGTTTAACTTTTCGTTGACATAGTTTAGGATAATCTTCGTTCACAAGAGAATGACCATTACAAATGATATTCCAAACTTTATCAATATTTTAAATGTAAATTCTCATTCTAGCTTAGCAATAAACATAATAGAATTTATTAAATAAAATGTGCCTATTGGTGAAATGCCCTTCCACATACATATTATTATAACTAAATATATGTCCATCTTGATGTCTAATTGAGGATATTTTATTTGAAACTTAAAGAGCTACTTATTTATGGTGACAATAACTTCTTAAACCTATAATACCAAACTTAAAAGCATATCAAGATTGTGGATGCATTAATAGTTTGCATCACAAATGCTTTGGTTTTCTTCTCAACTATTCTTATTCCTTAACTCATTGTCTCCTTTTGTGTTTTTCAAGAGTTACTTTACTTCTAGAAAGACTATCATCATCTTTTCAATCGATTATTTTTATGAATTCTAACTTGAATTATATGAGTCATAAGAAATAATGATGATGAAATGTCAATTTCCACTTCTTTAGATGTGACAGCATCAATACCATTTTTTATTCTTTATAACTTGTAGTCATTATTATTGGCTCTTCATAGTTAAAATAATAAAAACTTTACCAAAGTCTGAAAAAGCTGCCTTCTAGTTTCACATTACCATTGTCTTGTCTCTAGCAATGGGTGGAATGTCTTCAACATAAGATTCATTGTAAAATAGTTTTAGATATTCCTTGAGTGGAACACAAATCTTAGGTAATGAAGAGTAGTGTTTAGATGCATAATTTGAGGGGGAGTTGTGGAAGGAGCATTACGATAATTTCCTCCACTCCTATATTTTCATCTTTTTTCATCTCATGGCAACTTATATATTTTTATTTTTGCAGTTTTTGGAGCTTGTGAACACATCTGAGATCAATCCTAACGAATGATTGGATTTCTCACAAGCGGGCAGAGTGACAATTGGTGCTCTACTCTTGAGGCAAATGGAGGGCCACAACTTGCAAATTTACTTGGGCTGTAACTCCCACCAAGGGTGATCATCTATGTGCCCACTAGCTAAACATTCGGTGGTGGAGTGTTAGAGATGGAGGTCATAGGCAATTCTTGTCATGGAGCCAGCACCTACACAACAGGTGGCTCCCACCAATCCACTAACTTCGACCTCCGAGGGGTGTTTCAGTAGGGCAAGTATGTTTCAGACGTTGAAAGGTATATATCAAACAATACCTTCTCATAAGGTATTCCTTGAAATTTTTTCGGTTTAAAAACCCTACCTTTCCCAAATCAATCCAACAAGTCCTTTTCTCTATCATCAGCTCTTCTCCACTATTGTAGGCACTCCTTGGATGTAGGTCACAACTGTGGCCACCTCCATCTCATTTTTTTCATGATATCAGAACATTTTTGATCTAAAACTATGTTGGTAACCTCTTTTCACTGTTCTCTTAATAAAATTATAATCATGTCCTAATTGGAACAATGATTTATTTTTTTTACGCACAATACTAAGTTACTATTAACTATTTTGATTCAAAAAATCATATAGTGACTGCATTCTACTTATTTTGATAATGAGTACAAACTCGTCTTCTTCTATGACCTCACAAATGAACTCTATTCTCATGTCATAATGGTTAGTGAGAGGAAGACCTACAATGTTAGACTCACACTTGTAAGTCACTCCATAATAGTTGAATGAGCACAACTTCACTATTTGGAGCCAAAGATAAATTTGACTATAATTATGGCTTGGCTATTAAGCCCTCCTTGACGCACCCACATCATAAAGCGTGGTTATGTGAAAAGAATTTGGTTTTGTTGGAGATATTGAATTCAATTGATACAAATATTCAACGAGTAATCCTACATAAGAGGACTGCTCATGAGATCTGAAGTACTTTAGAAGTGATAAATGTTATCAATTGAACAATAGAATTATGGAGTTGAAACAATGAATGATGTCTATTACACAATATTTTACCTTCTTGAAGAGTATGTGGAATGAATTAGATTCTTGTGATCTAGATAGATGGTCATCT